CCCCGGAGAGGAGGGGCTCCTGCAGCTCCAGCCCAGAGCACTCTGCTGACAGCTCCACCAAGGCCCCCCAGGCTCCCAGGAGTGGAGCCACCCCCCTCTCTGACTCTCAGGGAACAAACTGCTCCACTGCGGGCGACTCCAGAGCGCTGCTGAACGGAGCAGAGTGCAAGATGACGAAGCCGAAGCCCCCGGTCCTGGGCAGCACCGCCCCTGAGCCTGCAAGCACCATGTCTCCTCCGCCGGCCAAGAAACTGGCCCTCTCTGCCAAAAAGGTGGGTGCGTGTGGGTCCCGTCACCGGACACGCGGCAGTCGGGCTCACGGGAGGTGTGATTGCGCTTTGGGGCGGGGCGTCGAGGGGCGGAGCAGCGGGTGTCGGGCACAGGAAGGCAGCCCTGAGGTGGAGGTGGCAGGGTTTGCGGGAGCCCTGATCACCTGGTGGATCTGGCTCCCAGAGGCTTAGGTGGCAGTGGCCCTCTGCTGGGCCTCAGTGGGGCAGGGCGGGCAGGGCTTGGGCCAGGTGGCACCTCCGCGCAGCACCAATTCTGGGGCAGCATTGGCACGGTGCGGGGAATCGTCGTGCTGGGGTTTGTGTTTAAAGTTCCTTCCTTTTTCCTTTTCGTTTCTAACCAAAAATACTTCTGATTCTTCTCCCGCCGTCCCTTCCCTCCCCGTTGTCTCCTCCTCCCGTCCTCTCATCCTCCTTTCTGGGCTCCTTTATCTTTTTATTTTTATCTTCTTTTGCGTTACTTTTATTTCCCTTCTTCACTCACGGAAACCTTTTTTAGACCACCAAGTTTTTATTTATGTCAATGACTGCAGGCCAGCACCCTGCGGAGGGCGACCGGCAGTGACCTCCGTTCTCCCCCCTCACTACTGTCGGGCCTCACCTATGGAAGCCACTCACCCCGCCGCCGCCTCCACCTGGCCTGTCAGTAGAACCAGGTAAGCCTCAGCCGGGCCTCACACTGCCGACCCTTCCTGTCCCGTGGTTGTGTGTGGCTGGGGAGCCGACGACCGCCCGCCTCAGGACGAACAGGCCTCCTGCCGCTGAGGACGTACGGGCAGCGTGGAGGACAGACCCCCTTTCTTCCTTTCTTTCAAAAATTGTGCCGGAGCACACATGCGCTGGCCGGAGAGAGAGTGAGAAGGCCCCTGCCGTGGGGCCTGGTCACGCTGCAGGCCTTCTCCACCTTCTCCGCTTCCAGGGTTTCAAGCATGCGTGCACACATGCATCTGGCGTGGTTCTCAAGCCCTCGGCTCCGTGGGGTTTAGCCGCTCTAACCACCGCATCACCGCCGGCTTGCCCCCGCCCTGCCCTTCGCTTCCCTGTTCTGCCTGGCCAGGGGGAGCTCACAGGCTCTGCAGTCCTGCTTCCTGTTTTCATCTTTATTTTCCACCTATGTGCACATCCAGGTGACCTGGTGTGCTGCAGCCAGGCCTGTGCTGTGGCCCCTGGCTAGGCATGACAGCACGTCACAGCAGAGAGACGGGGCTTCCCTGAGACTGCAAGAGCACGCGGTCCCGCCTGCCAGGGCCGTTCTGTGGCCCTGTCCCCTGACCCTTGGGCTGGCGGCCTTTGGAGCAGGGAGGCCGGTTCTTCGGTGCCGCAAGGCTGCCCCTGAAGACCTTTGAGGGTCTTCTGGGGGTTTGGGAATGCCTCTCCCCGTTCAGGCGCCATCATGGGGGTGCTCACATCTTAAGTGTGTTAACGGCAGGGGTCAGCAGGGCTATGGAAGCAGGGGAAGACAGGGTGAGCCAGGAGGGGGCTTTGGTGATGGGTTTGCCGGGGGCACTGGTGTGCTTGTCCCCTCACTTCTGATCAGCCTCTCTCTGCATCCACGAGGGCGCCTTTCACAGCATGTCCCCCAAGTGGGCATCCCCACCACCTCTGCCCCCCCACACCCTCCCATGTACCTGATGCTTCTGCAAATGCTAGGTCCTCGAGCGTTGGCGGGGTCACGTTACCTGTCTAAATAGTTCTACGCAGTGGGAGTGATGTGACGCTGCAGGGCCGTTGGTCCAGCTACTGTTCTGGTCTAGCCGATGTCCGCGACAACTCGGCCCCTCTGAGGTGGCTGGCTGTTGCTCGTTGACGTGGTCCAGAGAGCATGACCAGCTTGCCGATGGCAGCACGGCCCCGCTGTCCTTGGTGCCACATAGCCTCCCGGACCTGCCGTCCCCGGTGCTGCGTGGTCTCCTGTCCCCGCCGTCCTCAGTGCTGCATAGTCTCCCGTCCCCGCCATCCCCGGTGCATCCCCGCCGTCCTCTGTGCTGCGTGGTCTCCTGTCCCCACCGTCCTCGGTGCTGCGTAGTCTCCTGCCCCGCTGTCCCCACCATCCTTGGTGCCACGTAGTCTCCTGCCCTGCTGTCCCCACCGTCCTTGGTGCCACGTAGTCTCCCGTCCCTGCCGTCCTCGGTGCTGCGTAGTCTCCTGCCTCGCTGCCCCTGCCGTCCTCAGTGCTGCATAGTCTCCCGTCCCGCCGTCCCCGGTGCCACGTAGTCTCCTGGCCCCAAGTTCAGAGGAAGTAATGGAGGATGCACAGGCGGAATTCTGTAAGGCTCATTACCTGTGCTCCAACACCCTGAAGCTTTTGGTGGTTGGAAAATAAATCCTACCTGGATTGTTTTTCTTACCATGTATGGCTCAGTGAAGCTTTCTTTCCTTAACACGTTTGTTTCAAAGATTAACCAATGAGGTGACAAAAATATTCTGAACTGCTTGGTGACAAGAAACTTAAGATGTGTGGCAGTCCCTGTTAACTCCGACCTTAAGTAGAGTTTATTGCAAGCCTGTGTTTCTGAGGACCAGTGTGAGGAGGGTGAGGGAGGGTGGAAGGGGTGCTCTGCTGGGGTCTTTTGGAACAGCCCCCTTTGCCTGCTTGCCTGTCCACAGGGCTGTGTCACCTGCTCCCGAACCATCCAGCCGTCCGAAGCCCCCCATCAGCCCCCATTCCGCATCACTGTCCAGTAGCCCCCGGCCCCCAGGGACATCAGGACTGCCAAGCTGCTGCTCCACCTCGACCGCACTGCCTCAGGTCAACGGGGACCCCGCGCGCCTCTCACGTCAGCTGCTGGAGGCCGGCGAGGCTTCTCGGACCCCCTCAAAGGAGAGGAGAAAGGCCGGCCTGGGAGAGCTGCAGGGGCCGGACAGGAAGCCGCAGCACGGCACAGGGACGCCTGCAGCTGCCACTCTTCCCGGGAGGAGGAGGAGGCGGAGGAGGAGGCGTCTGGAGGCCATGGCCACAGCTACTCAGCAGGAGCAGACACAGAGGCAGCCATGGAGCCCCGAGAGCAAGGAGGGCCAGGCTTGGCTGCCAGGGGACAGACGGGAGGAAGAGGGTGGACAGCCGCAGGTGAATGGCTGGGAAGCAGGACACGTCGCAGACGGCCCCCGCCTAAGCAGCAGGAAGAGGAGGAAGGGAGCCGAGGGACCCTGCCAGGACCCCCCCTGGCATAGGTAAGAGCAGGGCATCCTGTCCGAACCCCGCATCGAGAAATGGCAGTGGACCAAAGTCTGCTCGGGGCAGTGAGGGGGTGCCACCGACCTGGGCTTCCACAGCAGAGTGTGGAGGGCCTCCAGCGAGGGGGCGGCGGGTTGTGCTTCACCAGACCAGGGAGTGAACAGAGCGGCCAGCCCCGGGCTGTCACTGTGTGCAGGGTGGTCCAAGGACGAGGGGACTGCGACCCTGGGCAGGGGCCAGTGTGCGGTCACGTGGACTACAGCAGTCAGCACCTCCGGTCTGTGGCCTGGCTGGAGTTAGGGCTGAGAGCAGGCCCGTCCCCCCGCCCCCCGCCCCCCATGTCTGTCCAGGTCTGTGGCCTGGCTGGAGTTAGGGCTGAGAGCAGGCCCGTCCCCCCGCCCCCCGCCCCCCATGTCTGTCCAGGTCTGTGGCCTGGCTGGAGTTAGGGCTGAGAGCAGGCCCGTCCCCCCGCCCCCCGCCCCCCATGTCTGTCCAGGTCTGTGGCCTGGCTGGAGTTAGGGCTGAGAGCAGGCCCGTCCCCCCGCCCCCCGCCCCCCATGTCTGTCCAGGTCTGTGGCCTGGCTGGAGTTAGGGCTGAGAGCAGGCCCGTCCCCCCGCCCCCCGCCCCCCATGTCTGTCCAGGTCTGTGGCCTGGCTGGAGTTAGGGCTGAGAGCAGGCCCGTCCCCCCGCCCCCCGCCCCCCATGTCTGTCCAGGTCTGTGGCCTGGCTGGAGTTAGGGCTGAGAGCAGGCCCGTCCCCCCGCCCCCCGCCCCCCATGTCTGTCCAGGTCTGTGGCCTGGCTGGAGTTAGGGCTGAGAGCAGGCCCGTCCCCCCGCCCCCCGCCCCCCATGTCTGTCCAGGTCTGTGGCCTGGCTGGAGTTAGGGCTGAGAGCAGGCCCGTCCCCCCGCCCCCCGCCCCCCATGTCTGTCCAGGTCTGTGGCCTGGCTGGAGTTAGGGCTGAGAGCAGGCCCGTTTTCTCCCCAATGTCTGCCCAGGTGTGTGGCCTAGCTGGAGTTAGGGCTGAGAGTAGGCCCGTCCCCCCACCCCATGTCTGTCCAGGTGTGTGGCCTGACTGGAGTTAGGGCTGAGAGTGGGCCCGTCCCCCCACCCCCATGTCTGTCCAGGTGTGTGGCCTGGCTGGAGTTAGGGCTGAGAGCAGGCCCTGTTCTCCCCCCCGCCCCCCATGTCTGCCCAGGTGTGTGGCCTGGCTGGAGCTAGGGCTGAGAGCAGGCCCGTCTTCTCCCCGATGTCTGCCCAGGTGTGTGGCTGTGGGCAGCGGGCACTCATGGCCAGTCGCATATTCAGTGTCGGCTGCCGGGTGTGAAACAGTGGGCACGTCTTGTCCTTTGGGCCTCTTATGACCGTGACACATTTGGGCAGGGGTGTGTCCTAGAGAGTCAAGGGCACGTGCCAGATGACATCCACTGGGGACACCTGTCCTTGGGTCCTGAAGTGACTGTTGCCTCTGACCTGCAGCAGCCACCCTCCTGTGAACAGCAGCCAGACAGAGCCAGAGGCGGGGTCTCCCAGGAGGAAGAAGAGGAAGAGGAAGCACGAGTCACAGGAAGCAGACGAAGAGGAACACCCGCGAGGCCAGGGGCACACTCGGCCCGGTGTCACTGTGGGCCCCGAGCTGAGCGGTCACTCAGCACCTGTGAGTGGCCGGCACCCTGGGGCCCCGACAGATGTATGCACAGGTAAGACAGGGTCCTGGCAGGGCGGGATGGCCCAGGTGAGGTTGGAGAGCCCACAGTTGCTGTGTCTGTGCTGAAGCGTCCAACAGAACCACCCCACAGAACACGTGGTGTACTTGGACTTCAGCACATTCTCTGGGGACCAGTGGGCCTCCCCATTCGAGGCTCTTTTCCTCCGCCTTCCAATAGAAATGAGCCAGAACTCTCAGCCTGAGCAGTCTTTTATTTTCTTCTTTAAATTTGCCAGAGGGCACACGCACTTCACACGAGAGAGAGAGAGAGAGAGAGAGAGAGAGAGAGAGGAGTGAGAAAGCACCCTTTAGAGGGGGGAGTGAGAGAGCACCCCTACAGAGGGGGAGCAAGAGAGCACCCCTACAGGGGGGAGTGAGAGAGCACTCCTACAGGGGGGAGTGAGAGAGCACCTCTACGGAGAGGGAGAGCGAGAGAGCATCTCTACAGAGGGGGAGTGAGAGCACCCCTACAGGGGGGAAGTGAGAGAGCACCCCTACAGGGGGGAGTGAGAGCACTCCTACAGTGGGGAGTGAGAGAGCACCCCTACAGAGGGGGAGCAAGAGAGCACCCCTACGGGGGGAGCGAGAGAGCACCCAGGCAGCGTGCTCACATGCAATCCCTCCTCCCCCATTGGAACTGGGCCTGCATGCACATGTGCCTGTGCATTTCTCTAGCCCCTGGCCTGGGACTCTGCTCAGTCGGCCTGGCAGAATTCAGCCACCCAGCCACCAAGATACCAGCAGGCCCCCAGCCTGAATTTTCTCCCTGATGCTCGAACATAGAAGAGCTGGCTTCCCCTGCACAGCTGGACCTCTCTGAGGATAGCACAGCCCCTTGCTGAGGTCTTGTCATGGCCATGGCTTCAGGCATCCCCACCCCATCTCCGTTTTCGTTTTCTCTGGAGCTGGCCGGACGTGCTGTGACAGATGCTCTGTAAATTGGGCCTGCTAAACGGAGAGCAGAGAGAGCCCTCACTGCTGGGGTGGAGCCCAGCAGGTGGTAGCACCATGAGGCTCGCTCTGTTTCATTGGGGATCCAATTCGTGCATTTGGGGCTGAGAGTCCCCCATAATCTGTTGTATTTCTCAGACTCCCAGTAAAGGAATGCAGGGGTGAAAATGGAGTGAGTGAGCCACTGCGAAGCACCTGCTGGGCGGTGCGGGCTGAGTGCGGGTGGCCAGGAGGCCAGTGTGGCAGTGTGGACAGAGCTGCCCGGAGCCGTGCTCGGAGGCAGTCCTCAGAGCCAGGGGAGGCGCTCGTCAGTGTGCCGCTCTAGGATGTCTGTAGAACACGTGCGGGGGCCACAGGGGGTGCTACCTGGCCCTTAGCCTGCGGGTCAGCACAGCTGCTGCAGGATCAGACGGGGAGAGACCAGGGCAGGTTGTGCAGAGGGAGGTGTGTACATTCCGGAAGCTGTGTGGTGGCCGGGTCAGGTCGTGGGCCAGAGGCCGAGGACTAGCTCAGGAACTATTTGGAGAACCTGGTGAGGGCAGTGGGGCCTTCGTGTTCCAGACAAGGCGGGCGGGCCCGCCGCGGACCTGCACCTCGGTGCTCTCAGTGGCCAGGCCCTTCCCCAGCCAGTCAGGACTAGAGGAGGCCCCGAGGGGTGGCTCCTCACCAGTCCTCCGGGGTGAGTCCCAGGCACTGGCCCTTTCTGATGGACGAGGCAGATTCCACAAGGGGATACTTCTGTCCCTCCGTCCATCAGACTCAGGACTCGCATTGTTGGCCGTAAGTCTTCTGTTTTGCTTTTGTTTTCTGTCTCTTCTTTTTTGAGAAATAACTTGAAAAACAGCTTGATCTATTGAGTAAAGTCATTAGTAAATGAAGCCCTTAAGTTCATTAATGGGTAAGCGCTTATCACTGGGGAAGTCTTCAGCTTTGTCGTGAATGAAGCGTATGTAGCGGCTTCCCCAGTGGCTGTTTAAACACACACGAATGTTTCCTGGCTCCCTGATTGCAGGGCTGGGGCAGGCTCCTCTTGTGTCCCGGAGCAGTGAGCGAGAGTCCGACGTGGTCCAGGAATTGCTCAAATACGCATCCGATAAAGCTTATGGGAGAAGAGGTATGAGGCTGACTCGTGTTTTGCTTTGGTGCTTAGTTTAGGGGGAAGAGTGGGGTGGGTCCTGGGGTTCCGTAAGCGTGGAGGACATGCCTGGCTTTAGCAGCGGGGAGCCCGGCGTAGATGATGGGGAGTTCTCTTTACCCCTGGCTGTGGCATGAAGGTGGATTCTGCCCACAAAGATCCAAAACGGTTCTCCCCAGCGGTCCACACCTCTTGGGGTCAGGCTGAGAGGAGTGTCAGGTCTCCATCAGGGGAGGGGACAGGAGGAAGCAGCTCTTCCCAGCGTCGGCAATACCCCTTCCCAGCCAGAACATTGTTTTCATAAGTCAGACCTCACACACAAACGTGAGCCGTTTATTTCTCACACAAGGGCGAGGGTGGGCAGGTTGGTAGTGCAGAGTTTAGTCCGGAGCTCTGCCGAGCATCCTGTGTGTTGGGGGCACTCCGCCCTCCTGGTGCCCCTGCACGTCTGTTTTCTCCAAGCCGTGGTGCTCAGAAATCTGAGTGACCCGGAGCAGTAAGCCCACACGGCAGCCAGAAGCCCACAGCTGGCTGACGCTGTGTGTCTGCCATGCAGTTCTGACCTGGGACGGCGCGGTGTCAGCAGTCAGTCAGGACGCCATGGAAGACAGCAGGTTGGCCCGCACGGAGACCGTGGTCGATGACTGGGATGAAGAGTTCGATCGGGGGAAGGTATGGGCCGTGTGGCGCAGGCTGGTGTGGCTCTGCCTGGGCCCAGGGCGGGGAGGACTGGGACCTCAGAGTGCTCGGAAGTGGCAGTGGCAGTGGCAGTGGCAGCACAGAGGCCGAAGAGTCTGACTGCTCGGTTCGCATCTGGCCTGGCCACTCGCTCACTGCGGGCCGTGGCCCAGGCTTGGAGCCTCTCCTTGCTCCTGTCCCTCCGTCTGTAAAGCAGGGATGAGGTGTCCCCAGAGGGTCCTGAGGAGTGTGACCTGGGGACGTGCCCGCCCCAGTGAGCTCGTGCTACCTGTATTGCTCAGAGCCCCGGGGCTGGAGCAGGACAGCCCTTGGGAACCAGGATGCCTGTGGTTCTTGATACAGGAAAAGAAAATTAAAAAGTTCAAGAGAGAAAAGAAGAGGAACTTCAATGCCTTCCAAAAACTTCAGAGTAGACGGAACTTTTGGTCGGTAACTCATCCAGCTAAGGCCACCAGCCTGAGCTATCGTCGCTGAGGTGCGGCCCAGTCTGTCAGTTCAGGTACTCTGCTGTGAGTGGCGTGGCATTTGCCGTGTGTGTAACGCTGTGCATGGGTAGACCGTGTGTGGTGTGTGGCTGTGCGTCGTGTGTGTAGTATGTGTGCATGCTGTGTGTGGGTGTGGTGTACATATGTGATGTGCACGTGGACTGTACATGTGTGTGTATGTGTGCTGCGTGTGGCGTGGCTGAGCAGTGTGTGTGGCAAGCGTGGTGCAGAGTGTGGCGTGGCTGAGCGGTGTGTTTGGCAAGCGTGGTGCTGCGTGTGGCGTGGCTGAGCGGTGTGTGTGTATGTGTGCTGCGTGTGGCGTGGCTGAGCGGTGTGTGTGGCAAGCGTCATGCTGTGTGGTGAGGCTGCTGTGAGGAGCACGTGGACCGGTCACTTACCGAGGAGGGCCTCGAGTTGCCCACCAGGGCAGAAGTCGTGCTTTGGCGTCCCGTGTTGGTGGCAGTGGAGTTGGGGTGCCTTTTTTTTTTTTGGAGAGATTTTCACTGTAGGGCGCGTGCGCTCGCCAGACAGACAGAGAGAGACATAGAGACAGAAAGCGAGAAATCACCCCCCAGGGGGATGGTCACGCCGCAATCCCTTCTCCTCCATTCTCCTCTCGGGATCTTGGGCACGCACGCACACGCGCCCGGCGTGAGTTTTAAGCCACCGGGTCCGGGACGCGAACCGCGGTCGACCACGTGGGAGTCCAGCGACATAGCCATTACGCTAACTGCTGGTTCCCGAGTTGGGGTGCCTTTTGTCACTGCAGTTACCAGTGCATTTTTTCCACAGCCTCCTGGAGATGAAGAGTCACGTCCTGACGCTGCCTGTCTGGATCTGAGGCACAGCCTCGCATGGACTCTGCTGCTGCGGCCCCTCCAGACCACTGTCCGCCATCCGGCCACTGGGGCTCTGCTGGCCCCGCTGTCCGCAGACGACCCAGCTGAGTCTGTAGAACAGGACCTTCCTGGTGACGTCCACCACGCAGCCACCTGTGTTGAGCGGAGATGGCAGAGTGCTCGTTGGACCCCTGCGGCAAGCCAAGTGTCCTTGGGTTCATGGACAGTGGAGTCAGCATGGGCAACGATCTGCCCTGGCCCGGCCATCAGTGGAGCGTTGTGTCCCCCATGCCCATGACATGGGGTGACAGGCCTGTGGTTGGTTGCTCTTCGTGGCTGCTGGGCCATCCCTTGCCTCCTGGTGGCTGGCGCCACCATCTGATCCTGCCCCGCAGCCCGCCCTCCCCGGTTCTGGTGGGGCCGCGGGCCTGGATGCCTTACCTGTCCGTCCTCAGAGAGGAGGAGCCCCGAGGCTGAACCCACACTCCCCCTTTTCTGGAACGGGGCTGGCCCTGCTGGTGTGTCTCTTCCTTCAAGTCGCTCTGGGCTGTCTCTGGCAGCCGCTGGGCGAGGCCGACGTGCCCACACTTCTGCTTTCAGGGCTGCTCTTTGTTCCCAGGTGACTGCAGTCACTCCCTTGAAGCCACGACAGCCCACGGGTCTCTGCTGAGGCTGTGGGCTAGGAGCGGACCTCTCCTTTTGTTTTACTACTTGACATGACACTTACTTCGGCCAGGCCTGTGGCTTCCATTAGCAATATGTTTCCTCTGATATGCAAATACCGGCTTCCTTTGCTCCGTTTTGTGAGTGCTTTCGAATTTAGATGATTGTATAACTCAAGATTACTTTTTTATCTTGCTCAAGCTGTGCCTGCAAACTTGTAACTTAATAAACACGGGAAATCCTCTGCGAAGGTGATATTTTCAAGGAAAAAAGACAACCGCTGGCAGAAGGCGTGGACCTTAACGTCCGCCCTCCCGGTGCCTCTCCTCCCCTCATGCTAGTCCTGGCCGAGTGCTGGGTGCCCGACTCAGACCTGCCCCCTAGGTGCACTTCCTGGCCTGAAGTCCTCGGTGTTCCTTCCTTGGTGTCCTTGTTGGGTCACTGTCCTCCGTCAGCCTTGCTTCTGCTCTGCCACCTGGATGAGCACTGGCAGAGACAGACCAGTTACTTTTTTATTAAGTTTGCTACAGGGAGCGTGCACTAGAGAGAGCACCCCTGGGGGTGGGGTGGCCACACTGCAATCCCTTCTCCATCCTCTTGGGATTTGGGCATGCACGCACACACACCCAGCATGTTTCTCAAGCCATTAGATCTGGAACCTCGCAGTTGGCCGTGCGGGAGCCTTGGTGTCCACATCACTGCTAGCCCTGGGGTTTTTTTTTTCCCTTTTTTATTTTTTATTTTTGGAGAAGATTTTGCTATAGGGTGCACGCACTCACCAGAAAGATAAGAGAAACAGAAAGCGACAAATCATCCACCAGAGGGGATGGTCACAGCGCAATTCCTTTTCCATTCTCCTCTTGGGAATCTTGGGCACGCACGCACACATACCCGGTGTGAGTTTAAGCCACCGGGTCTGGGACTCGAACCACGGTCGACTACATGGGAGTCCAGCAACATAGCCATTATGCCAGCTGCTGGTCCTGACCCTGGTATTTTTTTTGGGGGGGGAGAGGTTTTTGCTATAGAGGGAGTGTGCTCATCAGAGCAGAGAGACAGAAAGCGAGAAATCACCCCCCAGAGGGGATTGCCACGCCGCAATCCCTTCTCCTCCATTCTCCTCTATGGGATCTTGGGCACGCACGCACACACACCTGGCATGAGTTTAAGCCACCGGGTCCGGGATTCGAACTGCAGTTGACTACATGGGAGTCCAGCAACATAGCTAATACGCCAACTGCCAGTCCCATGACCCTGGTATTTTTTAATTTGGGGGATACGTTCATTTTTTTTTTTCCCCATCCAGGTGGCTCTTTTTGGTTTTTGTTCCAGTTGTCATATTTCTCTTTTTAAAAGGCGACCTTGGTTGGCCACTACTCTCCATCCCAGCCAAAAGAGCGCAGAGCTGTGTGGGACCTGAGCCCGCTGACTCCCGAACACACAGAGGACTCAGTGTCGCTGTAATGGGGCCCCGCGAAGGGGAAACAGGTACCCTGCAAGCAGGCTGTTTTCTTCTCGGGGCGTCAGCGTCTTCCTATACTCTCCCCTGCCATGGTTTTCTGCGGTGTTTGGTCGGACATTCTCGTGCGAGCACGTAATCTGCGTGTTGTCTGGCCCTTCCTCTACCACCTGCCTCTTCCTTCACTCACTATGAACGGTTTTCCTGAGGAAGATGCCCCTGCTGTGTCTCGGGCGGTGGCAAGCCCAGGCCTGACTCCAGTGTGGATCCCCATGAGGTAGAGGGGCCTTCTCTTCCACAAGACCTTCAGCCAGACAGCACAGGTTACAGAAAAGGCCCAGAAAGCGAGACCCCGTTTTAGGTGACACATCTGTGCAGAGGCATCTACAAGCAACTGAAGCCTTCACTGTGGCGTGCTTGTGGTTGGGGTAGGGCCAGGGTATGGGTGGGCTGCAGGGCTGTGGCGGGCCTCCCGGGGCCCACCCCTCACCTGCCGCTGGCTTGCTGCTGTCGGCCTGCAGCCCGGCCGCGTGAGCGTACCCATCCCTCGGCAGAGGTCTGTCCTCGTCTGCACACCCCCACAGGGTCTTCAGGAGCCCCACGAGTTGCCAAGGTCTTGGTGCACTAAAGCAGTGTGAGTCCTTCCCGTGTCTTCATTTTTTTCTTTGATCCCTAGACAGGCACGTCTGGGGCCAGTAGGTGGCATAGTGGCGCTGGACTCCCATGTGGACAACCATGGTTTAAGTGCTGGACCCAGCGGCGTTAAACTCACACTGGGTACATGTGCATGAGCGCCCAAAAATCCCCAGAGGAGAATGGATGGGGAGAAGGGATTGCTGCATGGCTATCGCCCTGGGGGTGATTTCTCATTTTCTGTCTCTGTCTCTGGTGAGCACAGGCGCACTATAACAAAAATCCCTTTAAAAGGTACATCTGGGGGCAGGCAGGGGGCGTGGTGGTTAAGGGCGCTGGACCCCCACACGGCCGACTGTGGCTTGCAGTCCTGGACTTGGCGGCTTGCTTTCTCACTTTTCTTCTCCCTCTCTCTCTCTCTTTCTCTCACTGTCTCTCTCTGGTCAAATTAAAATAAACAAGGTTAAATAAAATAATTATTTAAAAAAAGAAAAAAGGGTGCATCTGTTTTGCCCAAAGGAGAGGGTACCTTTGCTGCCGCTTCAGGGAACTGCCTCAACTGCAGAACAGGGGCCTCCAGCTCCGGACCCAAAGGTGCAGGGCAGGTTTTACGCAAAAATGAAGGTCGAGGGGCAAGCAGGTGCCATTGTCATAATCTGAGTTCTGACCTTGCATCTTAAAACATGCCGGGCACATGTGCATGCGTGCCCCAAATCCCGAGAAAAGAATGAAGGAGAAGGGATTGAGTGTGGCTATCCCCCTGCGGGGTGATTTCTCGCTGTCTTTGTCTCTCTTTCTGGTGAGCACATGAGCCCTATAGCAAAAATCTAAAAATATTAAAATAGGGACCAGCAGATGGCGTAATGGTTATGTCGTCGGACTCCCACATAGTCGACTGTGCATTGAGTCCTGGACCAGGGCGGCTTAAGCTCAAGCCAGGTGCATGTATGTGCGTGTGCGTGCGTGCCCAAGATCCTGAGAGGAGAATGGAGGAGAAGGGATTGCGGTGTGGCCATCCCCCCTGGGGGGAGATTTATTCCTTTCTGTCTCTCTGTGTCTTTCTAGCGAGCACACGTGCCCTATAACAAAAACCTCTCAATTAATAAAAAAGGGCAATATGGAGATATATTTACATTGGTTTAATAAATGCTTTCATTGAAATCTAAGAGTAAAGAATCTTTTAAGGGGCCCCACTAAACTTCCTGGATGCATTTAAATGAATACTGTGTTAAGGAAACATGGGGACAGCTTTCCATTGAGGTTTAACTGTGGTCTTTTTGTGCTGTGTTTTGTTTTTATTGCTGAAGGGCGCATGCGCTCCCCGGAGAGGGTGAGCGAGCACCCCCAGCAGGGCGCAGACACGTTGCAGCCCTTCCATCTTGCCATTCCGTCAGGATTTGGGGTGTGCACGCGAATGTGTGCGCACACACCCATTTCTTTTCAAGCGGCCAGGGCGTAGCCGTGTGGCGAGGCCTGGTGCAGGCCTTGTGGCC